CAGCCGCCGCGCTCCCGCCCGGCTCCCGGCACGTCGAGGCTGGGCACGTGAGGGCCGCCGAGTTCGCAGGGCGCGGGACACGCCTCCACTTACCGTGTGTGCTGCGCGCTGCCGGCTCAGGCCTCCCAGCTCTGGGCTGAGCGCCCGAGGTGGCTGCCCAGCTCACGGCGGGTGGGCCGTGGCCTTTCGGACCTGTGGCTTTGGGCCCCGGCCGGCCGAAGGTTCTTCAGGACTGCAGACATAGTGTGGGGTTGCCCACCCGGAAAGCTGAGCAGGGCGGGGAGGGTGGAGGGGAACCCTGGGTGGGGCCGGGAGCCACGGGAGGCTGGCCCTTCTTCGGTGCCGCAGCCAGACCAACCTGGGAAGCTGGGGAAGCAGGGCTGGAACCCTGGTGGTGAGCAGCAGTGAGACGCCGTTTTCTCCAGTGGCTGTCCAGGGCCTAGACCCCAGAAACCTGTGAAGCACCCCAGACTCCCAACCGTCAGGCCATCTGTAAGAGTGTGTTGCTCTTCCCTGCCCGCCACACACCCAGCTGCACAGGTGTGCCTGCGCAGTCAGCTTCCGGAAGCCCTCCCAGGGACGGCGCCTGCGGTCAGAGGCCTTCAGGCCCAGCTCTCTCACCACCTGGTTTGGACCATCGAATCACAGGTGGACGCTCACATGGGGCCAGCTCTTCCTTCACCCCAAGAGTGCTGAGCAGATGAGAAGCACCTTGTGACCTTGCTGAGGACACTGCTTGGAACTGATGATTTCAAGACTTTCAATCTTTATGGGTTTCTATCACATGAGGTAGGAGACAGAGACCCTAAAAATACAGGTAGGGTATAGGCTCCAATGGAACCACAAAATGACTCAGCTTTAAGACGGAGACACAGCAGCTCGGCTGGGTGCTCAGAGACCTCTTGCGGGTGGCTCAGTGACTGACCCAGCCAGCATGCCCTCCACCTAAAACCAAGGCTTGTTCCAGGCCCCACCACATTCTAGGAAGAGGAAAAGATATTGGTTGTTATGGCCCAAAGTGTCTAGACAAAAGAATCCCCTGACCTTCGTACCTACTCCAAAATTATAAATACTTGTGCCAGGTGCGCGTGCATGTGTGCCCAAAATCCTGAGAGGAGAATGGAGAAGGGATTGCAACATGGCCATCCCCAGGGGTGTAATTTCTTGCTTTCTGTCTTTCCAGCAAGTACACACGCCCTACAGCAAAAATCTCCCTTAAAAACGTTTTTTTTTGATAAATAAATGAGAAGAACAGCTGGACTCATCTAGCCTGTGCCCCCCACCACAAGGAGAATGCATGCAAAAGTCCCACCTCAAATAAGTCCGGATAACACCCTTCCTGGCCAAAATGAAAATCTCTTGCCTCAATTCTTCCTTGGCAACCCGTGTTCCCTTTTTGGGAGCTGTTTCCTTCCTGCCCCTTCAGTAAGCCCCCCGTCTTGCTATCCCCTCTCTGTGTCTGAGTCTCTAATTTTTCACGAGCGTTAGTCAAGAACCCTGAGCTACTAAGAGTGCTGGGCCCAGTAACCCCTGCGCTCCCGTGTTCCTGCGTCAAAAACTCCTGTAGCTGGTATTGTCATAGTCTTCTCAGCGAGAAATAAGAGGGCGTCCAGGCACAGCCAAATTGATTGGAGTTTATTGATTAACCCGGCGGCATACAGGGGGACTCATGTCTCTCAAAACCCCACAGCCCCGAGTGAAAGGAGAGAGGAGCTTATATAGGCCAATGGTCTACAAGGACAGGAACAAAGTGAAGGGGCTTCAGGAGAGATAGGGGGTAGAGTTTTCTATCTTCAAAGCCAAAAAAGCCAGTCACAGAAGCAAAGCAAGCAGGTTAATTAGTCTTGAGGGTAAGTTCTGATTACAATGGAATTTTAATGGCTTCCCTAGTGCCCGTCCAGGTTCTTGAGGCCCCTGGGAGTGGGGCTTCTCTGGATCTTAGCTGGATCTTAGCTGCACCTGTCGGGAGGGGAGAAGGAGGCACAGTTTCTGACATGAAATCACCCTTTCAAAATGGAGTCACACTTGCTTCATTCCCCACTTCTCTTGGAGGCGCTCCTCCAGGATGGGGTCTTGCCTGCTTCAGCATTTCTCTGTCTCTTTTAAATTTACTGGAGGGTACGTGTGACAACGGGGCGTCGGGGTGGGAGAAAGCACCACTCAGTGGGGCGTGGTCCCTAACTCCTTCTCCTCCATTTCTCCCTCCCTTCTGGGTTTCGGCCATGTGGACCCAGCTCTCTTAACCACCAGACCATGGGCTGGACCTATTTGTTAGTTTTACATTTTTTGCCAAAGCATGGTGCACCCACAGGAGGGAGAGGGAGAAGCAGCCCCTGGCGGGATGCGGTTGTGCCACAGCTCCCTCTTCTGCTTCTCCATCCTGCCGGGATCTTGGACATGCTCACAACTAGCCCTGGCGTGCTTTTCTTTGAATTTTTAACTGATATTTTTACTATAGGGTATGTGTGTTCACTGGAGAGGCAGAGAGACAGAAGGTGAGAAATGACCCCCCAAGTGGAATGGCCACACTGCAGTCTTTTCTCCATTCTCCTCTTGGGCTTTTGGCCACACACACACACACACACACACACACCCAGCGTGAGTTTTTAAGTTTTTAAAAATTATTTATTTAATTTTATTTATTTATTATTATTTTTTAATTTGACCAGAGAGAAAGTGAGAAAGCAAGCCTCCAGTTCTGGGACTTGAACTGTGGTTTGCCATGTGGGAGTCAGCACCTTAACCACCATGTCGCCTGCCCCTCTCATGAGTTTTAAGTTGCTGAGTCCTGGACTCAAACTGGACTCAAACTGCGATCTACCATGTGGGACTCCAGCAACGTAACCATTACACCATCAGCTGGTCTCCCAGGCATGTTTTTCAAACCGTGGGGGCCAGGACTCAAATAACCTGCAGTTAGCCATATGGGATTGCCAAAGCACCAGGCCTGAGGGCAGCCCAACGCTTATCTTTCCATCGGTACCTTCTCTCATTACCTCAGTGACTAATGAAACCTCGGACCCTCCCTCTGAGCCCTAAATTCCACTCCCCGAGACCCCACATTTTCAATAAGTGCTTCACCTTCTATGTCATGGAGAAACAGGAAATCACTGGCCATTTCTGCAACTTCTATGGGCAAACCTACAAGGGCATGCGTGCGGGGTCGGGGACTGATGTCCTCCCAGAAGGGAATTGATTTCCCATCTGTGTTACTTATCCAAGCCCACCCCCCCCCCTTTTTTTAAATAGATTTTTTGCTATAGGGTGAGTATGCTCACCGGAGAGAAAGAGACACAGAGAGACAGAAAGCGAGAGATCACCCCCCAGGAGAATGGCCATGCCCCAATCCCTTCTCCTCCATTCTCCTCCCAGGAGCTTGGGCACGCACGCACACGCGCCCGGTGTGAGTTTGAAGCCATCAGGTCCAGGATTTGAACCATGGTCAGCCATGTGGGAGTCCAGTGACATAGCCATTATGCCACCTGCTGGTCCCTTAAAAGGCAACACCCCCTCAGTCCTCAGCCTCCTAGTCGCTGCTCTACCCCCACCCTGCACTACATCCCCAGCTCTCACTCTTCCCATCCTCCTGCTCCAGCGCACCCTTCCCTGTTCTTCCTGGCACGCCGTCCCTCTCTCGGTAGCTTCTTTCTGATTTGGGCTGGACCCCATGGGCTACAGTCTGAGCAACTGTCCCAGCACATCTGTTTGCTTGCGTTCCTGGCTTCCTGCCCAGCAGAACTCTGGTCTGGATTCATGCTCGGAGCTGCTGGAGCAGTGCCCCCTCTACACGCTGAGTAAACACAATGGAGTATATCCTGGCCCAGCCCGTGGTGTGCTGGTTAAGGCAGCTGGACCCCACAGGGCCGACTCACAGTTCCAGTCCTGGACCTGGCAGCTTGAAAATACAGCAGCCACGTGTGCGTGCGTGCCTGAAATCCCAAGAGGAGAATGGGGGAGAAGGGATTGTGGTGTGGCCCTCCCCCTGGGCGGTACTTTCTCACTTTTTTTCTTTCTGGCAAGTGCATGCACCCTATAAAGAAAATAAACGTAATATGTACTATTTTAAAAAGGCAGGAAGATCTGACCTGCTGCAGTGTGGGTGAAGCTGGAGGACAGGGCCCGAGTGAAGCAAGCCAGTTGCAGAAGGAAAGCCCAGCGTAGGAGGTGCCCTTACACGTGCCGCCTGCAGTGGCCACGTCCATAAAGCCAAAACAGACAGTGTGTGCCAGGGACTAGGGGGTAGGGGAGATGGAGAATTGTGGGTTTAGAGTTTCAATGGCTTTTTTCTTTTTAAGGAAGAAAATTCTTTTTTTAAAAAAAGTTTATTGGGCCAACCCTGTGGCCTTGTGGTAAGGGAGCCAGATTCCACATGACTGACTACAATTTGGATCTCAGCCCCAATGGCTTGAAAGACATGTCGAGTGTGTGTGCCCCAAACCTCAACAGAATGAAGTGGAGGAGAATGGATCGTGCCATGACCATGCCCCACTGGGGAGAGGGCTTTCTCTGTCTCTCTCTCGCTCTCTCTCTCTCTGCTGAGTGTGTGCATTCTTTGGCAAATGTTCTTTTAAGGTTTTACTTATGGGGACCAGCAGTTAGCATAATGGCTATGTCGTTGGACTCCCATGTAGTCGACCATGGTTTGAGTCCCAGACCTGGTGGCTTACACTCACGCCGGGCGTGTGTGCCTGCGTGCCCAAGATCCTGAGAGGAGAATGGAGGAGAAGGGATTACGGCATGGCCATTCCCCCGGGGGATCATTTCTCGCTTTCTATCTCTCTGTCTCTGTCTTTCTGGCGAACACACGTACCCTATAGCAAAAAACCTCCAAAAAATGTTTTTTAGCTTTATTTATGCATTTATTTCCACATGAGAGAAAGAGGCACTCTCAGTATTTCAGAACATGACCCACCCCGAGTCTCAGCTGGCCACATGGTCAAGTATGTGGGAGTCCAGTGACGTAACCGTTATGCCATCTGCTGGTTCCAAGCTTTTTCATTTTGAGATAACTAGACTTGTATGCAGTTATAAGAGATAATGTGGAGAGGGACCAGCAGATGGCATAATGGTTACATCACTGGACTCTCACATAGTCAACTGTGGTTTGAGTCCCAGGTCTGTCGGCTTAAAACTCATGCTGGGTGTGTGTGCGTGTGTGCCCCAAATCCTGAGAGAAGACTGGAGGAGAAGGAATTGAGGCGTGGCCATCCCCCAGGGGGTCATTTATTGCTTTCTATCTCCCTGTCTCTCTGGTAAGCGCATGCACCTTATAGCAAAAATCTCCCTTAAGGTAAAAGACAAAAGAAATAATGCAGAGAAATTTTATGTACTTTTCACCCAGTTTCCTCCAGTGATAACATCTTGAAAAAACAATATCACAACCATACCATTGATAGGGTCAACATAAAGAACATTTCGGGCCAGCTAGGTGGCATGGTGGCTAAGGCATCTGGATCCCATATGGCCGACTGTGTGGTTCAAGTCCTGGACCTGGCAGCATGAAAAACGTGCTGGGTGCATGTGCATGTGTGCCCAAAATCCCAAGAGGAGAATGGAGAAAGGATTGCAGCATGGTCATCTCCCCTGGGGGGTGATTTCTCACTTTCCTCTCTCTCTGTGTCTCTCCAGGGAGTCCGTATGACCTATAGCAAACATCTAAAAAACCAAAGCACAACTTCAAGTACTTGGGCCAGCTGGAGGAGTGGTGGTTAAGGTAAGGATGGGTCCACAGGGCTGACTGCGTGGCTCGAGTCCTGAACCCAGTGGCTTGAAAAACACTCTGAGGGGCCAGCAGGTGGCATGGTGGTTAAGGGCGCTAGACTCCCACATGGCTGACCATGGTTCGAGTCCTGGACCCAATGACTTGCTTTTTCACTTTCTCTCTCTCCCTCTTCCCCCCTCTGGTCAAATTTAAATAAATAAATAAAGTTAAATAAAATCTTTAAAAAAGAAGGAGAAGAAAACACTCTGAGAATACATGTGGGTGTAACCAAAATCCTGAGAGAGAATGGAAAAAGGGTTTCGGAATGGCCAACCCCTACGAGGAGGGGAGGGAAACACCCCATGGAAGGTGATTTCTTACTTTCTCTCTCTCTCTCTCTCTCTGTCTCTTTTCAGTGAGCACACGTGTTCCATAGCAAAACTAAAAAACAAACAAACAAACAAAACTAAAACAGAAACAAAACCCCAAAACTTCAAGTACTCTATGTTCTGAAATAATAATGTGTAAGCATCTTTCTAAAACCATATTTTTACTAAAATCCATCTATTTCTTGGTATCTGAACTGGCATGAATTTCAAGCAAGTTCTTCATCAAAATTTATTAGATGGTCTAATTATGTATTGAAATGCCTTTGTCATTTCGATCAAAACCATTTTTAGATGATTAATTATGCTATGAAAAAAAGTAATGGTGAAATTGTTCCAGTTGCATTTCAAGGATTTATAAAAAGGCAAATTTATGCACTGAATTGAAGTTGAGTAGAAACTGAGTTTGCAAAAAGAAAATAGTTGATGATTAAATTTTGAATATGTGTTGAAATGTTCTGGAACAGTCAGAAAATGGATTAGCACTTGTGATCCACACAATCAGAGCATAATGCTTTTTAGGAGTGAAAAAGGTTTTCTATCTTTTCTTTTTCCTATAGACCTATCAATGGGAAGACTTAAAAACTTCTGGAAAATGCCAACTTCTTGAGAAAAAGAAATGTGGGACCAGCAGTTGGCGTTAATGGCTATGTCGCTGGACTCCCATGTAATTGACTGCAGTTGAAGTCCCGGACCCAGTGGCTTAAACTCACATCAGGCGCATGTGCGTGCATGCCCAAGATCCAGAGAGGAGAGTGGAGGAGAAGGGATTGCGGCATGGCCATACCCCCCGGGGGATGACTTCTTGCTTTCTGTCTCTCTTTCTCTTTCTGTCTCGTCAGCAAGCGCACGTGCTTTCTAGCAAAAACCTAAAAAAAAAAAAAAAAAAAAAAAGGAGAGCTTGGGACCAGCAGATGGTGTAATGGTTACAGTGCTTGGACTTCCCCGTAGCTGACTGCTGACTGAGTCCCAGACCCAGTGGCTTAAAACTCATACCAGGAGTGTGTGAGCACGCCCAGAATCCCAAAGAGAAGGGATTGCAGTGAGGCCATCCACTCTGGGGGACGATTTCTCACTTTCTGTCTCTCTCTGTCTCTCCAGCAAGTGCATGCACCCTATACCCAAAATCTCTCTCTCTAAAAAAAAAAAAAAATAAACCCAAAATCCCCCCCTCTAAAAAAAAAAAAAAAAAAAAAGGAAAGCTTGATTATACATATTGTCCAAGAAGGATTACATTAAACATTTTTTTTTTCCTTTAAGACTTTTGCCAAAGGGCTCTGTGCTCTCACCAG